GACTTTATTATTGAATTTCCTAACAATGATGAGTCTAAAATCACTAAACTATGTTCTAGTGGTACTGATGAATTAGGTGCATGTAAGAGTAGTGCTAAGATTGATATATCCCCTCCTGATTCTATTGATCCTTCTTGGTCTAAAGAATTTATTGAATATGTTAGTAATCTTGCACTACCTGATATTATTGCTTCTGATGGCATGATATATTTTACATCTGATGATGCTTGTGATAATATTGATTTAGAGTGCCTTGAGACAATTGAGTCCAAGAATGTTGAGCCATGTATTGATTGTGTTAATATTGATGAATATTTACATTGTTCTTCCTTTGACTTATCTGCTTTTAGTATTGAGCTTGCAACTATTAGTAGAACTAAATTTTTTAATTGTTTAGGAGATGATAAGATAGAAAAATTACCCATAATTGAGAACAAATGTGAGGGTGACTGTGAGATTAAAGTGAATATAGGTGGTAAGAGTTTTCAAGAGGATGTTATGCTTAAAGAGCACATGTTATCTTGCATTAATGATGATCTTAGTAACAAAACTCAATGTGATTATCTTTCATTCATGAATAAGCAACGTGATGAGACTTGGGATGATTTAATTACTGAGTTGCCTAATGTGGTAAATTATGAAAACATTATACATTGTACATCTGATAGCTTACATAATTGTGCTGCCTATGTTGAAATAGATAAACTTATAAACTTTGATAATTTGTTGGATCCTCTTGTTTGCAGTAACTCTATTGAATGTGATGATCCACTTGACTATATTGATTCTACTAAGGCTATTAGTTCTTCTATCTGTGTTAAGCCTTCTGATTATGATAATGCTTATGAGATCATGCAATTAGTTGGTCATCTAAATAACATTGATTTTGTGATCCCTATGGCCTTTTGTGATGGTATTGATAATACTAAGAGTAATGGGATTATTACTTATATTATGCATTCTGACTCTAATAGTGCTTATGTGGAGGATTTTGTTGTTTCTGTTGAGATTCTTGAGCAAGTGCCTGTGATTAAGAAAATTGTTGCTACTACAATAAGGCTATCTTCAATGGAGATATTGTCATGCAACCTTCAACTAGATAAAGGAAAGTCATCGCCTAAAGGAGCTTTTGATGAGCTTAGAGAGAAAAATGTTTTAAATAAGCATATATTCTCTATCAGAGATGAGAATTTTAACTTTAAGAGCTTACAGAGATTTAAATTATTTGGTTAACTCTTTTCCTTTCACTTTTACCTTGCATCTTATATTTTATTTTTGGATTAACTGAATTATTCTAAATTGAATTGCATTAAGGACAATGCAAGATATAAGTGTGGGGGAAGGGACTTGTCTTTATTTTGAAAAGGTTTTTTTTTAAAAAAATTAGGTGTTTTCTTGCATCTTTTTATACTTTTAGTGTCTTGCAATTTTAGTTTGGATGCATTTGAGCATGATAAGTAATTGATCTTATATTTGAAATTCAAGTTAAGTGGCAATGAATTTGGTTTCAATGGATTAATGTGATAGTTTTTCACTTGTGAGGATTTGGGCCTAATATTATTCTCTTCTTGTGTGTATTCTCCTATTACTACTCTTACTCTAGAACTTGTCTTGATTCTTAGTTAAGACTATAATTACATATGCTTTGCATGAAGATGATTTAGGCATTCTTTTTTTTTTAAGCCCACTTAGCCAAATAGCTATCCTATGTAATTTATCCCTTGTTAGCCCCTTTGAGCCTAGACATTTTCTTTAAAATTTTAGCCAAATGAAAACATAACCTATAAAAATCATTTCCCTTCATTTTTCTCACCCCACTTTTTAGCTTTTCATAATCATAATTTAAATAGTTACTCTATTGACTCTTAATGAGACGACCTAGTTGTGCTTTACTGTAAAATTTAGTTTTTATTAATTTTGGTGCTATTCGACAGTAGTGTCAAAATTTTGGCACTGTTGCTGGGGATCAAACCCGGGTCACCCGCGTGACAGGCGGGAATACTTACCACTATACTACAACTTAAAATTTATTAGCCTTTATTTTCCTATACCATACTTTTACCTAAGCCCCATTACAACCTAAACTAAAGTCCTATTAATTCTTGCATTGCATATGACATAAATAGTGGAGATTTAGATGATAAACAAGCTTATGGCAGTGAAGTTTTGATAGGGAAACTTGAGTGAAACACTTATCTATATAAATTTGAGAGTTGAGAGTTTAACACTTGACCTTTATGAGGGGCTATTGCTTAATTTATTCTTACCAAATGAAATTGCCATGATACTTGTTATTCTGGATATAAAAGATATTGATTAGAGTGTTAAAATGTTGAAGAGCTATGATTGTTTCTTATTCTTTGTTGCTTCCACATTTCTTTTCTTGAAATTTGAGATTTAAGTTTTGTCCAGGAGTGCAAAAGTCTAAGTGTGGGGAATTAATAAATGGCAATTTTATATATTTTAATCCTTTCAATTTAGACTTTTAAATATTTATTTGAGGCTAATTAAGTTTAATTAGATATTATTTGATTTTATTAGCCAATATTTAGTTTTAGAATTTTAACTAACTAAATCTGTAGTTTTAAAATATAAATGATATCTTTAATATTTTTGCACAGTTGCTATTTAATATTATCTTATTTGTGCAGATTTTCTATATTCAACTTGGAAGATATTGATAAAGATTATTTTGCATAAGAAGAATATGGGCATACTTGAAGATCAAATCAAGAATTAAATTTTAGAAATTTTGTTTATATTTATCTTGGGTGTTTTAATGTAGTTTTCATTTAGGGTTATTTAGGGTGATTGTGTCATTTTGATTAAATCATTAGATTTCTCACGGGAATACGCATCACCATATATATATATATATATATATATAAAAGACGCATCGCTACGAGAAAAAAAAAGAGAAACAGGCATGCATCATGAACATTCGTGCAAGAGCGGTCACTCTTCCTGTCTTTTTGTTCAACAAGTTTTGATGGCTTCTCCTACTAGGTGCTGTTCGATTTTTAGATTTATGGATAGCTAATTTTTTTTGTGTGATCAATCACAAATTATGATCTTAAATTTTAATCAGAGTCTTTGATATTCAGGAAAGATTTTATTTTAATTTTATTCTAATTTGCTCCTCTTCTCTCTACCTCTGAATTTTATGCTTTAATTGCTATTGCTGATTAGAGTAGCTTTATTGTATAATTTTTGGGTTATAAATTTTATCTGAGGTTTTATTTATTATAATCGATTAATATAGTAACTTAAGAGTAATTTGGCTTGGTTTGAGTGATTATTCATGCTTTGTTTTTGATGTGGCTAACATAAAACAGTTGTTAGGTTATAGGTTGAGGGAGATTTCCATTAATCTATAACTTAATTTCTTGTTTAATTTTTGAATGATAATTTGAGAAATATATAATAAAATCAGAATAATAAAGTTAAATAAAATTAATTTAATTTGTGGATGAGGAAGATTAAGTTTAAGTGATTGGGTTGTGATTAATTACGCTGCTTGTGCTTGATAATTTTCATAGTTGAATTTTCTCTATTTATTTATTTCTAATTTAGTTTTTAATTTCATCATAAAAAACCCCCTAGTTTTTAGCTTTTCATAATCATAATTCAAATAATTACTCTATTGACTCTTAGAGAAATGACCTAGGTTGCGCTTTACTGTAAAATCTAGTTTTTATTAATTTTGATACTATTCGATAGTAATATCACTTTGATTAATCATGGACAAATTGTTGTTCATATTCAAACAATCATTTGTAAATATTTGACCATGACTTGTTTATACATAAAAAAAATTGTCATATGTATTTACAATTGATCATCTGAATATGAACAATAATGCATCAATGATAAACCAAAGCCCATAAAAATACTTTAAAGATAAATTTATAACACACACACACACACACTATTTGGTATAATATTGATAAACTGTTAATGTTGAAAGAACATGTTGATAAAAAATTGAAAGTTGAGTTTTAAAAATTTACAATTTTTTTTATGTATAAATAATTCATGTTCGAATATTTACAAGTGATTGTTTGTATATGAACAATAATGCATCCATGATTAATCAAAGCCCATGAAAATGAAATAAATTTACAATGTATATATTTTTTATTTAGCGTAATATTAATAATATGTCAATATTGAAGGAATAAGTTATTAAAAAATTGAATAAGTTGGATTTTAAGAATTTACAATTTTTTTATATATGAACAACTCATGTTCGAATGTTTATAAGTAATTATTTGAATATGAACAATAATATATTCATGATTAACCAAAACCCATGAAAATGCTTGAAAAATAAATTCACAACATATATATTTTTATTTAGAATAATATTGATAATATGTCAATATTAATGGAATTAGTTTTAAAAAAATTGAACAAGTTGGGTTTTAAAAATTTATAACGTTTTTATGTATGAACAAGTCACTTTCAAATATTTATAAGTGATTGTTCATATATGAACAACAATAAGTTCGTGATTGACCAAAACCTATAAAAATGCTTGAAAAATAAATTTAATTTATACATTATTTAGCATAATATTGACAATATGTCAACATTGAAGGCATAAGTTGTTAAAAAACTTGAACAAGTTGGGTTTTAAACATTTATAACTTTTTTTATGTATAAACAAGTCGTATTCGAATATTTACAAGTAATTGCTTGGCTATGAACAACAATATGTTTATGATTAACAAATATTTATGAAAATGCTTGAAAAATAAATTTATAACATTTATATTTTTTATTTAATATAATATTGATGATATGTTAATATTGAAGAAATAAGTTGTTAAATAAATCCTGGTTAAAATACTCTCCTAGTCCTAGGTGCATATGTTTATTGATCTACGGCTCTGAATGACCTAAATCTTGATTTAAAAATTAGAGATGGAATGGGAAGATGATGGGAAGGAAGGAAGAGACCATATGACAACATTGTTCGGTATCCCGTACGAGGGAAATAACCTTGCTTTTATTTATATGTGCATGTAACAAGGCGTAGCAGTACTAAAATTCTTTCTCAGTTTTGTGGGGAGAAAATTGGCCACAAAAACCAAGAAACTTAAATATTTGAGCATAAATCCCAAACCTAGAAATAAAGTCTTCAAGAAATCATGATCCTTGAAAGATAATATGTTCTTCAGCAAAAATATCAAAATACGTTTTCTTTTTCTGCACTCGATCGGGTCCATGGTTTTGATTATTATTGACGATTCATGAATGACTTCGACCAATCAGTGCAGAAAAAGGAAGGATATTATGTTATTATATCTAAAAAAATATTGTCGCTCATGGATCATGGCCCTCTGCAAACTTTATTTCTGCATTTGAGACTCATCCCCAAATATTTGGACTTCTTGATCCTTGTGGTCAATTTTTCCTAGTTTTGTTAGGGTACCCACACAACAGCAACTGGCAAAAGAAAGTGACACAAAGGAACACTCCCTGGCTTCACTTTTAACATTTGGAAGGCGATATGTTTTGGGTTCCATTGCGACGTATCTTTGTGACAGACACTCACAGCTTTCATTCGGCTCCCAAGAGCTCCCTCCAGCGGCACCATATACTCATCCGTGTTCTTTATGTTGTGACAGTAAAACACAGCATACACATAATCAAGCTTGTGGTAGACCACCACTTTGGCCTCTGCCACCTTCTTCACTCCCTGTGATATGGTGTATTCTTCCTCCTCCATGTTAGAATATTATTTATGAATTAGCATTAATTAATAAGCCCAATAAATTGGTCCTTATGATCTTGTGTGGACCATGATAAGTGGACCACACAAGTGAGCCCAATGGGCAGAGGCCCAACCCACAACCCAGTAGCCGTCAGTTATTTTCTATCTCTTAACTGACTGAGTCAGAGATAATAGATAATATAATTATTTAATTATTTAATAAGGCGGTTATCGATCTGATCTATATATAAGATGATTAATTGGTAACCGCAAACATACGACTGATTTTCCTCTACTTCCATTATCTCTGAACTCTCTGAAGGCTCTAGGGACTTGAGGGTTGTCTACCTGCCTATACTCGAGGTAATCGAGATTTCTCTAGCATTCATGGATTCTTCAGGTATGTATGAATTACTTTATTCTATCATATTATTATTATACATATGAATTGAGATATTAGATTTAACACTTGGCATCAGAGTCATGGTAATGTATTTTAAATTCATATATCTCAATTCTTCTTATGTATATATTGATATATTGATAGAGATTCATGCTTATGTTGATAATTTTTTTTCTATGATCAATATCATTCAGGAAATGAGTATGAATATGAGTTTTGAATAGGAAAATTTTTTTTATTTATCATATTATATTTTAAAAAAATTCTCCTCCTTGGTGGTTCCCTGTCTGTTTCTTTCACCGGAGATCTTCCTTCACGGCGTCACTCATAGATTCTTCATTATGTTGAGATTGAGGATTGCAAGGCTGTCATCGATAAGGTCTCTGGGAAATCAAAAGATTATGCCTTCATCTTGTTCAAGCACCGAAGTGGCACTCGAAAGGCGTTGAATCAACGTGCCGTCATCTGGATTGGTGCGGCGAGCGTGGAGAAGTCGCCGGAGAAGGGGATGATGTCGTCGTCTTTGCGTCTGGGCTCGGTCGCGGGCGTCGTCTCCCTTCTTGCTCACAGCGCCGTCTCTTCTGGCTCACGTGCACGACGTTCCTCTGGTTCTCCTAGTTCGCGGCGTGGTGGCTGTAAGTCACTCCATGAACGCCGGCGGCATGTCCCTCTTGCGGCTGGAGAAGACCCAGGAAGAGGGTTAGGAACTGGATCCTAGGGATCCGGTTCCACGAGTTCTAGGCCCATTTTTGTATGGGCCCAGATCTGATACAAAAAAAAATTATTTCAGTTAATTGCGTTCCAGCCTCAGTTTAATTTACCTCCTTTGGCCCATAATTTCTTAAATTTATGAATTATCCCCATGATATTTCTAGAAATTACATATTAGTCCCTTAACTTCCAGAATTGCAATTTTGACCCAAATCTCTTCTAGAATTACTTATTTTCCCCTGATTAATTTTAAAATTTCACTTAAGTCCTAAATTTGTTCCTTAATTCCCAAAAGACCCTAAGGACTTTAAAATTATTTTGTTTTGTCCTAAAGTCATAAAGTTTGTGACTTTGTAAATTATTGATGATGTTTAGGATCTTGTAGCATTAATAATGGACATACCCCATAGGTATGACATTATTAATGTGATTTTGATGGTTGGCTTTGAGAATAGGCTAATAGCACTCCTTTAATGTATTAGATATTTATTGTACCCTATAGGTATGGAAATGTTTAATGCATTATTTTGTATGGACTTTTGTGTGAGCTAAATCTTTATGGTATATGAGCTTTCTTGGTGCATGGTTATAGTTGCATAATTGATAATCGCTTGTTGGGGAAATTTTGTTTTATAATTATGTTGCACACGCATAATTAATATTTCCCATTTTCTGTTTTGCGATTTCAGTTTCCGCTTTTACGCAACTATCCTTTGTGAAGGCTCTCAATGGGACTAATTATGATGACTGGAAAGAGTCCCTGACTATATATCTGACCATTTCTGAGAAAGATTTAGCTCTGAGAGAACCTAAGCCTGTGGATCTCTCTTCTGAGTCCAGTGCTTCTGGAATGGCCTTCCATAAACAATGGAGTGAGTCCAACCGGATCTGTCTAGCGATCATCAAGTACACAATTGAAAAGGGAATTAGGGACAGCATTCCTGAAAAGGATACTGCAGTAAAGTACTTGAAAGCTATTGGTAACAAATACAAGAAACTTGACAAGACTCAAAAGAACTACTATATGTCACTTCTTGACAATACTCGATATGACGGAGTTTCTGGTGTCAGGGAGCACATTTTGAAGGTTGTTCATTACTATAACAAGCTTAAGTCATATGGGATTGATTTGGGTGAAAGTACCTTAGTTTACTGCATTCTTCAATCATTGCCATCAGAGTATGTATTCTTGAGGACTTCATACAACTCACAAGAAGCTGAATGGTCTGTTGACCAGATGATATCGATAGTCACTCAAGAAGAGCAAGCTATAAAGAAGAATTCCTCTCACTCAATAAACTATGTTTCTCATGGCTCAAGCAGCAAATCTGGAGGGTCATATAAGAAAAAAAGGAAGAAACATGATGCCCCAAAGCCTAATAATCCAACCTTTAAGAAGGATGGTGATAAGAGTGAGAAGTCGAGGAAGAAACCCTTTAAAGGGTTATGCAATTATTGCAAGAAACTGGGTCACATTAAAACTAATTGCTTCAAATTGAAGAACAAACAAGAAAGTGAAGGTACAATTCTTCAAACTGCCCCTCTAGCTTTAGTCTGTTTTGAATCTAATACTATTAAAACTTCTTTTGACTCATGGTGGCTGGATTCTGGTGCTACTGTACATGTTGTGAATTCTCTACAGGGGCTAAGAAACCAGAAGGTTTCAAGTGAGGCGCAGAGGTCTGTCTTTGGCATAGCAGGGAACAAGGCATCGGTTGAATGCATTGGAACTGTTTCTTTGTATTTAAATTCTAGTCATGTTTTAAATTTAAATAATGTTATTTATGTACCTTCTGCGAAGAGGAATTTAATTTCAACTTCTGCATTGGATATTTGTGGCTATTCACTCTTCCAAGAAAATAGGAAAATTGACATTTGTTTTGATTCCATTAATGTTGGTGTCGCTTCCTTGATATATGGTTTATATCGATTGAATGATTGGTCACTTGAACTACCTAATCTTCATGTCAATGCTGCCATTGGGCATAAACGTCAAAGGCCCAATGATAATTCCTCTATGTCATGGCATCGTTGTTTGGGTCATATCTCTAGAGAGAGATTGGAGCGCATGATCAAGCAAGGTGTCTTACGAGACCTTGATTTCTCAGATTTTGAGACTTGTGTTGACTGTATAAAGGGAAAATTCCCTGCTAGAGCTAGAACCAAAGGGGCAAAGAGGTCTGAAAATACTTTAAACTTAATCCATACTGATATCTGTGGACCTATCACGCCTCCAGCTATGGGTGGTTTTAGATATTTCATCACCTTCACAGATGATCACTCTCGACATGGATGGATTGAACTCTTACGTGAAAAGGGCGAGTCCCTTAATGCATTCAAGACCTTTAAAGTAGCAGTCGAATTGAAATCTGGCAAGTTGATCAAGTGTGTGAGATCTGATAGAGGAGGAGAATTTTATGGGAGATATACTGAGACTGGCAGGAACCCTGGGCCATTTGCTTTGTACCTTCAAGAGCACGGCATTGAAGCTCAGTATACTATACTTGGCACCCCGCAGCAAAATGGGGTTGTAGAAAGGTGAAATCGTACTCTCATGGATATGGTTAGGAGCATGATCAGTCACTCCTCAAAATGCCAAAATTCTTGTCGGTGATGCACTTAAAACTACTGTTTATATTTTGAATCAAGTTCCTAGCAAGTCAGTTCCAAAGACTCCATATGAGTTGTATTTTGGAAGGACTCCTGCGTTGAAGCATATGCGAGTTTGGGGTTGTAAAGCACAGGTAAAACCTTACAATCTACAACAGATGAAGCTTGATGCTAAAACTGTTGATGGTTTCTTTATTGGCTATTGCATCGGATCTCGTGGGTACAGATTCTATTGTCCAAATCACACTACTAGGGTAATTGAATCTGACTGAGCTTACTTCTTTGAAGATGCCTTAGACAGTGGGAGCTCTGTGCCTAGACATATTACCTTGCATGACGAAAGTAGCATTTTGCCTATGCCTATCTTGACAACTCCTCATGTTGACAGAAATAATGCCGTGGATTAGAATGAAGCTCAAGATGAACCACCTTTAGAGGGTGATAGGGACATGGTTGTTGAACCGAGACGGTCCCAAAGGGTTCGCAAGTCTGCTATTCTAGATGATTACATGGTATATTTGTAGGAATTTGATTCAGATGCTATTGATAGCTTAGACCCAATGTGTTACCAGGAGGCTATTTCTAGCTCACATTCTTCTGAATGGTTGGAGGCTATGAGTGAAGAAATTGCCTCTATGTACCGCAATCACATATGGGAGCTTGTAGAGCTACCAAAGGGGTTTAAACCAGTGGGTTGCAAGTGGGTCTTTAAAACAAAATGAGGAGCTAGAGGTGAAATTGATAGATATAAAGCCAGACTTGTAGCCAAAGGCTACAACCAGAAAGAAGGTATTGATTACACAGAAACCTTCTCTCCGATATCCACCAAAGATGCTTTTAGAGTGGTAATGGCTATAGTTACACAGCTTGATCTTGATCTTCACCAGATGGATGTCAAGACTACGTTCTTGAATGGCGATTTGTATGAAGAAGTCTACATGACACAACCTGATGGTTTTGTTGAATTCGGTAAAGAACATCTGGTGTGCAGATTAAAGAGATCCATCTATTGGCTAAAACAGGCTTTTAGGCAGTGGTATCTGAAATTTGATGAAGTTATCACCTCTCTCGATTTTGTTGAGAATGTCTCAGATCAGTGCATCTATCAGAAGTTTGATGGGAAAAATTTTGCCATTTTTGTTCTCTATGTTGATGATATCTTATTAGCCAGCAATTCAATACATTTCCTCAATGAGATAAAGCACCTATTGTCTTGCCATTTTGACATGAAGGACATGGGTGAAGCCTCCTTCGTTCTTAGGATACAAATTCATCGTGATAGATCTCGTGGTATTCTTGGTTTATCACAGGCCACTTATATTGAGCGGGTACTTAAGAGATTCAAAATGGATTCATGTTCTCCTTCACCTGCTCCTGTACAAAAAGGTGAGCTGTTATCAAAGTTACAGTGTCCCAAGGATGATAAGAAGAGGACTGAAATGAGAAAGATACCATACGCTTTCGCTGTCGGCAGCCTTATGTATGTTCAAGTGTGTACTCGACCAGATATAGCCTTTGCCATTGGAGTGTTTGGTCGATACTTAAATGATCCAGGTCCGAATCATTGGAAGGCTGCTAAGAAAGTTATGAGGTATCTTCAAGGTACAAAGGATCATATGTTGACTTACAGAAGGTTAAATTCTCTTGAGGTTGTTGGGTATTCTGATTATGACTTTAAGGGATCAGAAGATCTTGAGATTGTTGGCTTTTCAGATTCAAATTTTGCCTCTTGTCTGGATGATCGTAAATCCACGATTGGCTATATTTTCATGTTATCTGGAGGAGCTATCTCTTGCAAGAGTGTGAAACAGACACTTACGGCAGTTTCATCTATGGAAGCTGAGTACATTGCTTGCTTTGAGACTACACGTCACGCTATATGGCTGAGGAAGTTGATATCTGGCATGCACCTAGTTGAGTCAATATCACGTCCTCTAACCATTTATTATGATAACAAATCTGTAGTATACTATGCTAACAATCACAGAAATTCCAATCGTACAAAGCATTTTGATATCAAACTTATGTTTGTGAAAGAGAAAATTGCTGAGTCTCAAACCCGTGTGGTACACATTCCTGGCACGCAGATGCTTGCAGATCCGCTGACTAAGGGCTTACCGATAGAAGTTTTTCAAAATCATGTAACTTGTATGGGTATTGTGAATTCCTTTGATGCCCTAGTTTAGTGGGAGTTTGAGAACCTTTTATGTTGCAATTTCTCTTTAGGCTTTGTTTTCTTCTGTGAGTTATGTTTAGTTTAGTTAGATGCGTCTATATCATTTGTATCCCTATAGGATTCAATGATTCTGTTGTGGTACGCTATGAATGTCTCTTGTTTCCCCATAGGAATCAGTGATTTATGTTGTTATTTTACTGAGCTGTGTTTGAAATAAAATTTCATGTTTTACTCAGATTATGAGATATCATAATCACTTGTTTCCCCATAGGATTCAGTGATTTTGTGGAGTTTTATTTTCTGAATTTTGTTTGTGGCTTGTTTATACAATTTGCTTAATTAATGCAATTCAAGTGGGAGATTGTTAGAATATTATTTATGAATTAGCATTAATTAATAAGCCTAATAAATTGGTCCTTATGATCTTGTGTGGACCATGATAGGTGGACCACACAAGTGAGCCCAATGGGCAGAGGCCCAACCCACAACCCAATAGCCGTCAGTTATTTTCTATTTCTTAACTGACTGAGTCAGAGATAATAAATAATATAATTATTTAATTATTTAATAAGGCGGTTATCGATCTGATCTATATATAAGACGATTAATCGGTAACCGCAAACATACGACTGATTTTCCTCTACTTCCATTATCTCTGAACTCTCTGAAGGCTCTAGGGACTTGAGGGTTGTCTACCTGCCTATACTCGAGGTAATCGAGATTTCTCTAGCATTCATGGATTCTTCAGGTACGTATGAATTACTTTATTCTATCATATTATTATTATACATATGAATTGAGATATTAGATTTAACACTCCATTGTTACAGCATTCATCACCTCCAAAGATAGAGCTTTTACGCTTTTCCCGAGCTTGAAAATACTAAAATCAACCATGGATTCCAATGAAGTTGCACAGTACTTCTCCTCTCCTTTCATCTCTGACCTCTCACACTCTTCAATTGTATTCTTCAAAACCTCGGCATATGCTGACCCGACTTTCACCGCAAACTTTTTCAATATTACAGCCATCTGTCAGTAAAGTAAAGAATCACAATTAATGCGTAAATTATGTCACATAATATATGTTGTTTGGTTATATTATCCGTGGTTTGTAGTTGCAGTTGCAGACATGGTTGAATGAATTCAGACACTATACCTTGCTTGAAGAAAAGGGAATGGATTTCACAACTTCACGAGGCAGGAAGGTGGAGTCTTGATTGGAGGTCTGAAAGAAGAAGGGCATGTTCATTTTGTGACCAGGCTTCAAGTCCTTTTCCAAGAAAAAGAAATTTGCATTGGACTTATCATCTTGTATGGTGGTGTGCCTTGTTCCATAACTTCTACCATAATTTTTCATGTAAGTGGCGAACCGCGGTTGGCTGCGAAGTTTGACGTTGATCCCACTGTGGACGATGGTACCGCCACCTGAGCTGCCAATATTTTTAACCGAAAGAGGCAGTAAAAACTAGACTGACCATTAAACTGGTCGATATATTATTTCAAAAATTAGAAGTTTGTCTAGGCCGGCCAAAGGAGAAATGATTAATTTACAATATTTTTAGTTTTATATTAATTATTTGAGATAAAATAAGGGTATAAAATGTAATATAAAAAATAAATTTACATAGTAATGATATGAATGTAAAAATAGTAATTATTTGGACTAAAATATAGTTTTTGACCCAAGTTCAATTATTTGGGCTAAAATTAAGATTTAGGCCTTAGCCACCTAAGTATGCTATAAGAAGGGAAGTTAATTGCAATGAAGAATAACTGATGATCATTTAAATGGAACAAGTGAGAAAAAGGTTCAAAAGCATGCTCATCTTCTAGCTTCTTTATTCTTTTCTTTCTACGCTCATTTCCTTTTTTCATTTTTAATTTCTTGATCCTCCCTTGCTTTTTTACATTAGCCCGGTAGACTTGATTAACCCATCGCGTTCACCGGCTTGGACCGGTTCAACATCGGGCAGGTTCCTCTTGGTTCAAAGATTTTCAGGCTGATTACCTGGACGATTTGCCACTTTGGCCAGTCAATCAAGTCTGATGTAATTTTCTATTCCTTGATCCCACCGTTAGATGATGGTGTCGCCACCTAAGCTACCAATATCCAAGTGATATGGAAAAACTTATACACTTGGTTTTATATATTTAGGGGTTCGTTTCTAATTAAACCAAGACTTGTAAATCTTTTATAAATTATTTATTTTATAATTAAATATTATTATTAATATTATTAATATATTAAAATTTACTTGTCTTAATTTGAATGGATAAAAGTATATTAAGTATATAAACCTAAGTATACAAATTTTATCCTAAATGAAATCAGTGCTTAAAATAAGCATACGATTTGTCATGTGAGTTTTGAAATTTGTGTAAATAAGGAACCTACAAACTTTAAAATACTAACCACTTGGATGGAGGAGATCAGTGATGGATTTAGGCATGGGAGTAGTGGGAAGCATGGACTTCCAATAAAGTTCAGGAGGTAGTAAGGCTTCATGTGTAGCCTCCAGTGCTACCTGCAATTTCATATATAAAACATAAATTAAATACTCATTCACATAATTGGTTTCCTTGCGGGGGAAAAAAAAGTGAAGACAAGAAAGGAAGTCGAAGCTCACTGTGAGAAAAGCAATGATGGGTAGGAGTGAAAACTTCGTCATTGTTGGAGGAGCTTCGTTCTGAAGCTAAACTAAAGGTGTCGATGATGTTAGGGAGAAAACAAGAGGAATTATATAGAGGAAGAAGTCCCGGCACTGCAATTTTGTTCAGAGAAATGAGACCCCGCTTCGGGTCCCAAAATCTTTTGATCATTCATGTGAGTGATTTGGGGCAGATTCAGCAACATGCTAACGAAGAAGTAAGAGGAGAATAATATATAAAAACAAGGGAAAATTTTAGTATAACACCACCAATGTGACATTATTTGAAAAAATAAATTTATAACATTTATTATTTATTTTGCATAATATTAATAACTTGTTAAAGGACCAAGTTGTATAAAATTGAACAAGTTGGTTTTTGAAAATTGATAATTTTTTTTATTTTTTAACAAGTCATGTTCAAATGTTTATTGTAGATTGTTTGGATATTAACAACACATCCATAATTAACCAAAGCTCATGAAAATGCTTGGAAAATAAATTTATAACATATTAAATATAAGTTTTGATGATGATAAATATTAGATAAGTTAATTATACCTATGCTTAATTGTTTTCATAAATATAATAGTTAACGATAACTATGATGGGCTTTAAAGTGTTTTTACCTATATTGTTCCATATTATATTAGATTTAAAAAAATAATTTTTGTGCATAAAAGTTATTTTATACTAATATATTTTTTTCTTATATCAAAATGATTGTATATCCAACAGTGTCCAAAATGTTATTTTCATAACTTGAATATTTACTAAATATAAGACTTTTCATATATATGACATAGTAACTTTTATATTTATTCTAAAGCATATTAATACTTGAAATAATCACCTTGTTCATGACATATCATTCAATGATATGTCATCCAAAGTGAAGATAAGAGTGATCATAAAAAAGAAGTAACTAAAGTCATCATTAGCATGCTGCACTTATGATGAAAGAATGAAAAGAGAAGGATAATTCAAGAAGAGTTAAAAAAGAAAAATGAAGGCACTAATATAAGTTTGAATGCATCATAGCCTTAGATTAAATAGGTATAATATCATCATTTTATAAATTTAATTTAAAAATTGAATGAGATTGAATTAAAATTATACATGTTTCATATATTTATATATAACTTTTAAAATAAGAAAAAAAGAATAATAAGAAAAATTCTAGTCCAAGCTGTCGTTTGTAATACCGAGAGTCCCATGATCTTGTCATCAAAGTGCACAATCTAATATCTTGTCACCAAAGTACACAACCTTAATTTTTGCTTAAAAAAAAAAGTACACAACCTAAAGAAATATTTGGGATTTAAATTGGGAATGACCTATTTTGTGTTACACTAACTCGAGAATGATCATGCTTCCTCTCACTTTCTTCAACTACCTACTGTCAATTATATATAATAATTGTGGGGTTTGTGTGTTGGGGGCTGAAGGCTTGAAGCACAAGCCAAGACAAAAGTGGGATCTATGACACTTCCCTCCATTTAAGTCATTCAACATGGGACTTGACTTTACTGGTGAAGCGCCCACCATTACCAAATCATTGTATATAAAGAAAGGAAAAACTTTTATATTTAGCCTTTGATTTAAGTTACTTGTGTTTTATTAAAATAAGACGTGTGCATCTTTTATTTATTATCTATTCTATGACAAACTTTTATTATTAGTATTACTAATATATCAAAGTCCACATGTCTTGATTTCATTAAATAAATATATTAAGTATATAAGGTTAAGTATCTAAGTTTTACTTTATAAAGAAATGTTCCTCTCATTATTTAATACAAGCAAAACTTTATTTTTGAACAACCAGATGGTTTTAAACATATTATTAAGAAAAGCTTAAAAATTTTAAAAAATAAAAATTTAAAAATTAGATCATACTAAAAGTCAACTTTATTTTTGAACAATTTACATGTATAAAGTATGATTTATGACCATTTTTTTTATAAAAATATCGATAACTATTGTTGCAAATACAAATACTTTTGAGTCTACTCATATCTAATTTAATCAAGATCCATTTATATTTGATAAGTTACAAAATTATAGTTTATATTTTTTCCTTATATTTATTTTATATATACATTTAATATTATTTTTATTCTATAAAATTATAGTTTATATTTTTTCTTATATTTATTTTATATATACATTTAATATTATTTTATTTAATATTATTATAATTTTATTTTTATTTAATTTTATGATTTTTATAAGGTAAGGACAACATTGTTTTTCTGGGAATAGTTTAAGGGCAACATTACTATAATGAATAGTTTAGGGGCAATGGGGCAACATTGCACCTCCAATAATAGTTTAAGGGCAAAATTGCACTTTAACACTTTTTTGTTTTTTTTCATAAGCCAAACACCAATTTTTAAGAAATGTCTATGATACTGTTTTTTAAATTGCCCTTCATTAAATGATAGTATTATTAAGTTAGATAAACAAATAAAGGATTAATCACAAGAGAATTTTTGTCCAAAAGTTTCAATTTCAGGCACAAAATTACTAAGATTATTTAACTAACTTTCTTTAATTGTGTGAGTTGATTAAAATTTATTTATATTTGAATACAGTGAGAGAATGAAAAAGGTTGTTGAATGAAATGGGAATATGTAAAGGAGCTTGATGAAAAGAGCGATTTGCCCTTTCTTTCCATGATGATGGCACTCAAGATTCTTACACCTTTAATTCTTTTATTTTCTCTTGCTTTTATCTATATTTTTGGTAACCCAAAATTTTGCTTCTCCCCTACATTCCGTAATTATATTTTTGATTGGAAAAAAAACCCTGTACGTATTTTTTATTTCCTCATTTCCTCAATCAAAACACAACAATTAGCAATATCCATAGTCATTATTTCTGAAATGCAACATTAATTAAAGATATTCTTAAAATCTCCCTAGAGTCAGGTATTGTGCCAATGAAGCACAAACCTTGAAATTCTTCATCAAACTTAATTCCCACGTACAGGAGCTCATTAGTGGTTCCCACAAGGTGTGTTCAAGCGATGTGTTATTGGATCACTATCCGTATATATCAATGCCAAAATCTGCTTTATTAGAAAAAAATTGTGATTCCCTATCTTTCTAGCATACAAATCAACATTCAAACTTCCACATTTAAAAATCCAAGCATGAGTAGTGAAAAATTTCCCATAAGAAATATCATTATCTAATCCTATACCAAACTCTCTAAAAGTAAGTCCTTAAAAATTTCTAAACAATGAGTGTAAAATTGAACTGGAACGGCTAGTTTGATTGGCAAACTGGTGAATCAGCCATGTGCCCAGTCCGGCAATATGATTAAACCGGTAAAATAGTATATCAAACTAAATTGGGTGTTCTGGAGTTAACCTGGTCAAAATCAATTAATTTGACAGGTTGTTCAAGTTCCTCGATTTCAAGAAATATCAAGAGTAAATGAAGTAAAAAGAGGGGGGAAGTAAGAGGGAGGGAGCACACAAAAGGAAAATGAAGAACATGGGAAAAGGAGAATGGGAGCAGGCGGGAGACTAAAAAAATAGAGGACATAATTACTCGATCTTCAAATGCTCTTCAACCATGGTGTAGAACTTCGGTCTTGATGGAAGAAAATGCAAGTACATTTGGAATGATGAATTTGAATTTGAATTTTATATATGAAATTTTAAATTTCAAATCTCACATTTAAAATTATTTGTTTGTGTAGGTTAAAAAATTTCAAAAGAAGAGAGATAAATGAGTTGATATTTAAATCGAAAATGAAAAAGTAAGAATAATGAGCTTATATTTATTTTTTAATCAACAAGTGATTACAATTAGACATGAGAAAAGATACGTGAGATATAAAGATGTCAATAATGACTGACTAAAATTTCAAATGAGTAGGGAGTAGCAAAAATTTGGAAATACATAGTCATTTGATATTACAAATAAATTATAATATAAAATGGATTTGAATTTGAATCAAATCTGATTTTATAAATTTTTTTATATCCAAATAAAAAATTAGGACAAAATCCAAAACCCTGTACAAATCCAAAGCCAAAGTCCCATTAAGCCCAACATACTATCGAAGTTTCAGCCTCTCAAATTTTAAAAAGAAAAAAAATGTCTATTTGGTCTTAAAACATTAAATTAATATCAATTAAATTCCCAACAATTTTTTTAAAAAAATAAGTTAAAAATATCGATCTAAATTATTTTAAATTCAAAAATTTTAATTGCAAATAATTATTTAAATATCAAATATAAATTTTAGATTGTAACAGAAATTTTTATTTATAACTTTTTAAATTAATATTTATAATTTATTTTATAAAAAATTTTATTGAGAATCTAATTGTCTTTAATTTATTCCTTTGAAACCTAACTATCATGCCCCCCTTAAAAAATGAATTTATTATTTTCCCTAATTCAAGACCACTTCAAAGGTTAACCTTTTCCACCACGTTTTTGCCTGATCCAATCAAATGAAAACTATTTAACTTCTTTATGGAAAATATAAACGTGAATGCAGTGTTGGTGATTTTATTGTTTTTATATTTTTTTTCTTTTTACTTTAATACAATTAAATATGTTGGATTTATAATTTTATCTTATCTTATCTTATATATAGTAAAATATAATGATTTTCACTGTTCACATAACAGTAAAATCAACAGTGTAATGATTTTGTTTCAATTGTTTTTTTTTTTTCAATACTTTTGTGTCATGCTCATATTTGTTTCCATATCATAATTTTTCATAACTTTTGCATTTCATAAATCAAAGCATATTCTTATTTTTCATTTTTATGATATCATATTAATATATTTTTTATTTGTATAATTTTTAGATTACTTTTTTAATTTTTTATATAGAAAACAAGTTCAAAAACATAAGATATTTTTTCTTTTAGCATGCACAAAAATAATAAATTGTAAAAAAAAAGATAGTGTTATTGAAATACCTGCGGCAAGGATAATAAATGATACTCCCTCTGTTAAAAAATATAAGACATTTTTAATTGAATCTCACCTCCAATAAAGTAGTTACCTACTTTCAAACTAACCCTATCTTTTCATATCCACTCCTATTAAATAACCTACAATAAATATAAAGTCATTATCAATAGGGACACTTTTTAAAAAAAGGCAATGATTACACC